TGTCAGTTGCTTTGGTTGTGGTATTTTATCACAGCCACAGAAAAGCAGCCAGCACTCCTCTTCAGTGGGAGCTGCTGAAGGAACTGGACAGGTGTGTCTGTACAGGTGGCCATACTGTCAGGGAGATGTGGACTCCTGGGCAAGGGCAGGGCTGGTTGATTTCTTTTTCCTGAGTTTAAATGGGATCCGAGTGCTAGCGAGTGGATTTCGCTCTGTGATCCAACACGGAGGACACTAGTGCCACAGCAGCCAAGAATGGACGCTCTCTCTTAGGCAGCAGAGAGGATGAGGTGCCGCTGGAAGAAAAAGTGGCAGCAGCTTAGGGGGCGAAGAAGAGAGAAGAGAGGGGGACTGACTCTCCTCTCTCTCCCCCTCCCTCCATCCTCCCTCCTTTCCTCTTTCTCTCCCTCCCTCTCTCCCTCCCTTCCTCCCTCCCTCTCTCCTTCCCTCCCTCCCTCCTTCCTTGAGATAGGCTCTCATATAGCCCAGGCTGGCTCCAAACAGCTTATGTAGCTAAGGATGATATTGAACTTCTGATTCTCCTGCATCCACCTCCCAAGTGCTGGCTGGGATTACAGGCATACCACCAACATGCCCGATGTATGCAACGCTCAGAGCATCTCCCAGGACCTCATACCTGTTCAACTCACTGAGCCACATCCCAGATCCCACTTGATTTCTGGAATAGATCCCTTTGCTGGTTCTATGAAACGGTCCTGACTCATTTCCTTTCCTTTCCTCTTCTTTCTTTAGTAACTTTTAATTCTGAAATACAGATTCAGAAGAATTTGCAGAGAAAGTACAGAAGACCCACATTCACTGCACTCATTTCCAATGATCCCACTGTAGGTTTCCACAGCAGTGTCAACACCAGGAAACTGACATTGGTCTAAGTTCTTCCCATTTTACCGTCTGCGATGGCTTTCATAACGATTACCACAATAAAGATGTAAAACTGCTGGGTTCCATAAAGATTTATTTTTCCGAGATGCCATTCCCAATCCCCGATAACTGCCAATCTCTCCCCAACTTCTGCAATCTTGTCATCTTGTGACTGTCTTGTAAGTGGAATCATAGAGTTTGTGACCTTTGGAGATGGCTTTTTCCCTCTCACTCAGAATCATTCCCTAAAGATCCAAGTTGTCCCGATACTCTATTCATTTTTTATTGCTGAGCAGTGTTCCATGGGATGACTACGACACAGTTTGTTTAGTCATTCACCTGGTGGAGGACATCTTATTTCCACTTGAGGCTATTATAAAGAAAACCATCAAGCATATTTTCATATTTTTGCAAGATACAAAAATATTCCAAGTCATGCTTGTACAAGACTTTCCATCCTCTAGATATAAAGTCTAAGAGTGCAGTTGCTCAGACCTCTGGCTGATACATGTTTGGTTAAGAAACATTCTGAAGCAGTTGTACCATTTTACTTCTCCACCAACAGAGTATGAGAGATCTAGTCTCTCTGCATTCTTACTTGAATTTGGTATTTTTAAAGCCTCTATTTATTTATATATTTACTTATTTATTATTATTTTGTAGTTGTTTTGGTTTGATTTTTTTTGTTGTTGTTTTGAGACAGAGTCTCTTTATTTAGCCCAGGTCAGCCTCAAACTCAAGATCTTCCTGTCTCAGCCTTCTGCATGCTGAGATTGCAGGCACGTACCACAGTGTCCATCAACCTTAGCTGTTTTAATAAGTTTATAATGAAGTGTTGGGGAGACGGCACAGTAGTGAAGAACACTTGTTATTCTTACAGAGGATCCTAGTTCTCACAACTATCTGTAACTCCAGCTCCAGGTGATCCAACAACTTCTTCCAGCCTCCATGGGCACCTGCACTCACTTGTGTGCATGTACACCTGTGGACACACCATTCACACACACACACACACACACACACACACACACACACACACACACACACATACACACATGAAGATAAA